AAGTACAACAGGGTATGTAGGTAGGTAGGTAGGTAGGTACAACAGGGTAGGTAGGTACAACAGGGTATGTTGGCAGGTAGGTAGGTAGGTAGGTAGGTAAGTACAACAGGGTATGTAGGTAGGTAGGTAGGTAAGTACAACAGGGTAGGTAGGTAGGTAGGTAGGTACAACAGGGTAGGTAGGTACAACAGGGTAGGTTGGCAGGTAGGTAGGTAGGTAGGTAGGTAGGTAGGTAGTAGGTACAACAGGGTAGGTAAGTACAACAGGGTAGGTAAGTACAACAGGGTAGGTAGGTAGGTAGGTAGGTAGGTAGGAATGTAGGTAGGTACAACAGGGTAGATAGGTAGGTATGTAGGTAGGTAGGTAGGTAGGTACAACAGGGTAGGTAGGTAGGTAGGTAGGTAGATAGGTAGGTAAGTGGGTATGTAGGCAGGCAGGCAGGTATGCATGCTTGAATATATTAGTTTGATGAATATGTATGTACACATGGATGTAGCATAGTTTTAGGGTTGTTGTATAATCTTTGCCTTTACCAGGCACTGCAGTTGAATATTAAACAGACAACGTTTTTCATATTCTAATTCTAAAACCCACACACAACACCCAGATATAYTTAGAATGCTAAAGCAGATCAATCTAAAATGACTTTAATGACTTTAACCTGCATGAGGCGAGGTTGTCCTCCAGCACTGAGAGGTCGGCAGGGTAGGGTGGTCTTCTCAGCCACTCTCAGCCATTTCTCCCTCACRGACCCTCCTCCGTCCATCATGCTGTCCTCGGACTCACTCTCTTGGTCCTTGCTGTTAGGATTTTCCTCCTCAGGAATGTGAACTAGCTGTGACGATCCAGGTCGAGGTTGGATGGAAACTCTGGCACCAGCAGCCATACCGGAGCTGCCGTTATGTCCCAGGTGATTATGACTGTTTATGGGTATAGAGCTAGCTGCTAGCTTCATGTACTGAGCAGGAATGTGGGCCCCAGCACGCAGCTCCGCCTCCTGTCCTAAAGCTGAAGCCATGTGTGCCCCACCACGCAACTCTGCCTCTAAACCCATGGCAGATGGTTCAGAGGAGCAGCGTAGCTCCACGTTCCTCTGAGGRGATGAAGAAGACGGTGGTCTTATTCCATCCATCACCTGCAGAGACATCTTCCTGTTGTCGTTCTTGTTCTTCCACTGGCTGAGCAGCTGTTTGGAGCGCGTTGAGTCCATGGAGGCATGGATGGCAGCATGTCGCCGTGGAATCCGTCCCTCTTCCATTGAAGAACCTCCATGAGACCTAAAATGACACAAGAAAAAAGAAGTGAGTGCCGTTTTCACACATGCAGTCAAACCAGACTGTACATTGTACAGTACTACTGCTGGACTGAAGGATGAGTCTAGTTTGGGATATAGTTTTAATTAAGGCAAAGGAAAATGTTCTTTGATGTGATACAACCTGACTTCTGACTTAGAGCAAAGAAAATCTGGACTGGTCTTGTGCGTCTYTGGTCTATGATGTATAAACTGTCAATAATCTATTACATTAATGATACATGAGCAGAGAGTGGTGTTTCACTGTGGTGWGACTATTCAAAACTAGTTGGAGACTCAAAAAAAATAATTAAAAAATGTAAGAAAATGAGGCATTTTGGTATTTTCACCCCCTGCCTCCCTGATTGGAAGTAGCGCTGATTACCCACACCTGCATGGAGTTTGGCTCATCTAGCTCCAGGCTTCTTAAGGCTGTGCTGAGGATCATCTCATCGCTGAAGCATCGCCTCATTTTGGTATGAGCTCAGCCTGCTACCTGTYGTCTCTCCTAGAGTTTATCTTACCTTTGTATTTTACTTACCTGTTTACAGAARRCGACCTCCAGCACGTTTTGCCAATTGCCTTGGAACCAGAGCCACTCATTTCATGCGCTGCCTCCCACAAATCACGGTAAATAATTCCTCACCTGTAAATACTCACCTTTGGATCTCCACCTTTTGGACCATCTCCTTCTCCAGCCCGTAAGAAACCATCTGAATTACTTACCTGCTAAGAACCATTACTGGAAAACTTTCACATACTCACCTCTGCAAAAACCTCTGTTTCAGGTCCCGTCCCCAGACCCCAGCACCTGCATGAATAAAATCACTTACCTTTTGTATAATCTGTCTCAGTCTCTGTTTGTCACTGGTATTTGCTCACGTCGACCTCCACCTGTAACCTGATAGAAAACACTCAAAGGTTACAGTCTTTCTGAATTCTGTGAGTTGGAGATAAGTAACCTGTGAGCTGTGTCCACATATTGAACATCCAACTTTAGAAAATCACAGCCGTTTTTAGTGCACTTGTTTTGTTGCCCACCTCCACCTACTTTGTCTTCACCTTGGCAGCTGCTGTCAAGTTTGTGAATCATTTTACAAGAGTACACTTTATTTTTATTTTTATTTTTTTTTTTTGATGATCATCAAAAAAAAAAAACAAGAGTACACTTTAAAAATAAAGACAGACAGAGTTAAACCTGTTTCTAATATTTATAATTTATCATTCTCTTTGATTTTAGGTAGTGTTAGCTGTCAGAGGAGAGCTCAGTATACAGCCATACCACTTATATAAAAAGTTGGAGACRCCTGTGATGACTGACTATTGTATTTTGAGAGGAATTTTGTTTCACTGATTGTTTAAATGTACAAAATTCAAGTGACAGGGCTATAAGCCAACATGTCTCCTGCAGTTGCAGACCAGTGAGAGAATGAATTAATGCACAGTGGCTCAGTTTGTAGAGCTGATGCCTCTCAGCAAGAAGGTCGCTGGATCAAGTCCTGGCCCAGGGACCTTCCTGGGTAGAGTTTGCATATTCTCTCCGTGCATGTGTGGGTTTTCTCCAGGCACACATCAAAACCATGACTGTTAAGTGCAGTGGTGGGCATCAGCCCTCTAAAGCACAAATCCGCTAATTGCGGACCTAAATATTTCGTTTGCTCTTTAGCGGTCTTGCTAATTTTTATAATTCATAAGCAGATTTGCACTTTCTAAAATTAAAAAGCAGTACTACTAATAACAAATTATCTACCAGTCATCATTATGTTGAACAGCAGAAGGTATGACTGTCAATGAATCACAACACATGTGATCTATCCAACAGCACCCCTCCCAGATAAACACTCTTATTGTGAAGGTATACATCCTGCTGACTGTTGCTTTGGGTCACGGTTCTGATTTCCCACAATGCTTTGTGTCTGCTTACGCAGCAGGAAGGCAATGTTTAGAACTCCCTGTCCCAGCTAAAACAGTTAACATTTGTAATCCATACTAAAATTTTGTATGTATTGATTTATTTTTACTTCACTATCAGAGCTCCATTTAAAAATAATAATAAAGTTTAAACACTGGAGCTCAATACTTGACATAATTGGTCGAATAAATGGTGTTAGAGACTCAGAAATGATTTAAAGATGTTATGCTGATGAAGACTGACATCTAGTGGTCAACTGGAGCAACTACATGGAAAGCTTTAAAATCCAAGCTCTTATTTTGAAGGGAAGATAGTTTCCTGTAATCCCTGTTTTCGTTTCCCATCACAAATCATATCAGTCATGTACCCAGAATGCATCGCCTCGGTTTTCCAATAAACAGTTTTAAAATTACTTTATTGATGCTTCTTTAATGAAAAATCTACAACAAACAAAAGAAAAAGACAAAGAAGCAGCTGAACTAGCAATCCTCAACAACTTTTTCATTTTCACACCAGGAGCCAAAGGTCTGTTTCAGGAAATCCCATCCCCAGCAATCGGCAGTTGTAGGATTACAGGTCCTTCTCAAAAAATTAGCATATTGTGATAAAGGTTCTCTAAATGATTTATTAATCTAATCATCTGAATCAACAAATTAACTCTAAACACCTGCAAAAGATTCCTGAAGCT